ACTCACCTGCTTCTGCAGGTGGCTGAGCTCGGAGGAGAGGTTGTCGATGCGGATGCGCGTCTGCTGCAGCTCCTCGTGCGCAGCGCCCACCATGTTGCTGTTCCTCTCGGCCGACTGCTTGGCGTTCTCCAGCTGCGGGCGGGCGCGGGGCCGTCAGCGGCGCGGCCCCCGGGCCCCGGGGTGCACGGGGTGCAGGGGGCCACGCCGCTCACCTTGGCCCCGTAGGTTTTCTCCAGCTCGTCCTTGTAGAGCTTGATCTGGGCCTCRTGCTGGCTGCGCAGCTCCTGCAGCGCCTCGGAGAGCTTGCTCTCGAACTCGCGCTGCCGCCCGTTGTCGATCTCCACCAGGCGCGTCTCGTGCCGCCGCTTGGTCTCCCGCAGCTCCTGGGGATGCAGGGAGGCGGATGAGGCGCCGGGGCGCCGCGGGGGCTYGGCCGGCACCGCACCGCGCCGCGCTCACCTCGCTGTAGATGTTCTTCTGGAACTCGAGCTCCTCCTTGAGCGTCTGCAGCCGGTTCTCGGCGTCCACCCGCCGCAGCATCTCGTCCTGCAGCTGCTTCTTGGCCTCGCTCAGGGCGCTCTCCAGCTGCGGCGAGAGGAGCGGGGCGCTCGCCGCTGGCCACGTCCGGGGCTGGGGGCTCCCCGGGTCCGTGGGCACGGCGAGATCCTCGCCCCGTGTCCCCGCTCACCTTGGCCACCTGCGCGCGCAGGTCCCGCACTTCGGTCTCCAGGTTCCTCTTCTCGCCCAGGGCCGTGGAGAGCGCGGCCTCCTTGGAGTTGAGCAGGGCCTCCACGTCCTTGAGGCGCGCCTGGGCCGCCAGCAGGTCCCCTTCCTTCTTGGCATTCCTGCAACGCGCGGGAATGACGGCGCCCTGAGCGGCCGGGCTCTCCGCGCACCCGCTCGTGTCACAGCCGCTGCCTCCGGCTGCCTCCTCCCCATCGCGTGACTCGGTTTCCCCCCAGCCGGAGGGGCTTGCGCCTTTCTGAACCCCCCGGCACCAGGTCCTGGCTGCTCCTTCACTGAACGTGGCTCAACCACAGCAGCCCCAGGGAATTTCACCTACGTCCAAACCCCCCGGAGCCCCCGGTGTTATTTTGGCAGGTCCTATATGGAGAGGAGGCTCGTGGGAGTCTCCCGCTCACTAGGAGCTCCTCCGGCACCTGGGTGCTCCTTCCCGGGACAGGCTCAGCCGTGAGCAAACAGGTCAAAATACCGGTGGGGAGGGGGCAGCAGCAGGATCAGGCCCTAGGGTGGCATCTGTGTCCGGCTGGGCATTCCCAGGAGGAGATGGGCCAAGCTGGCACCGGTGCCCTTTTGCTGCCAATACCCCATTGTGTCAATATCCCGTTGTGCCGCGATCCCGCTGTGCCGCGATCCCGTTGTGCCGTGCTCCCGCTGTGCCGAAGCCTCCGCGCGGCGGCGCCCGCCCGGCCGGCGCTCCGCTCTGCTCCGCTCGGAGCCGCGCTCCTCCTCCCGTGCCAGTGACTCAGTGCACAAACACGCGGCCGCCAGCGCCGCCCGAGCCCCGCGTGCCGCCCGCAGCCGCCATGGCACCGCGGCGCCCGCGGAAGGAGGGAGCCGCGGGACGCGGCCCCGGGCTCCGGCATCCCGGCATCCCGGCACGCAGGGAGCCCAGGCACAAATCCCGCCCGGAGGCGACGTCTCGGGAGGGAGCGTGCAGGGAAAAAGGGGCCTCAAGACGTTTTATTTTTAGCTTTTTAAAGCAGGAAGGGTTGAGGGGGAGGAAAAAGCAGATCGCAGTGGAGCTGCCAGCAAAGGCGGAATCCATGGAAAGTTGGAGCAGCTCTGGCTGCACGGCCGCAGCCGCAGCGCCCGAGCGAGCAGGAGGCGCAGGGCAAAGCCCAGTTGCTCCAGTGCCCCCCGCACGCCTGGGCATGCCGGAGCGGGGCAATCGGAGCCCTGGGAAGCAGCAAGGGCACCGCGGCGCAGGGACAGAGGCCGCGGGCAGCAGCCTGTGCCCTGCCTCCCGAGGGCAGCTGCTCCCGCCGCGCCAAACAAGGAGGTGGCCGCATGGCCCATTCCTGGGTCCCGGTGCTGGGAACGGGTCCCCGGCGCCCTCGTGGCTCCCAGGGGCCCAGGTGTCCCCAAGCTGCGGGTGCGGGAGGAAAGGCGGGTTGGGAAAAGCACTGGGAATGTGGCAGCGCGGCTTCTCCCAGCCCCTGACTCATCGGTGCCGCCGGCTCTGCCAGACCCGGCCAAATCACCAGGATAAACACGGGCCGGTCTCCTAGCAAGGGAGCTGTAAACAGCCCCGCAACGTATAGCGAGGGGAAGATGTGCACGGCGCCAGCATCCTGCCGGGCACCCGGCGCGCCTGCAGCCCCCGAGCTGCCGCTGTCACAGGAAAAGCCACTTGGCATCTCCTGCTGCAGGAAAAGCCACTTGGCATCTCCTGAGGGCTGGCGTTGCCCTTCCCAAAACCGGGATCCTGTCCTCTGTTCACACGCCAAAAATGAGGCCAAATCTGCGAGGCAGAAGGGCCACGAGGGACCCGCCAGGCTGTCCTGGCCCTGCAGGGACCTGCCTGGCCTGGGCTTCCCAAGAGCGGGATCATCCCTGTCCATCCCCAAACACTACTGGGAGCTGCGGACACCGACAAGTGCCCAGCGCTGAGGGACATGTCCCTGTTCCATGTTCATGGGATCCATCCGCAAGTATTCCCTGGAGGAAAAGCGATCACAGTTCTCCGCTTGGACACAGGGCTTTTCCTTCCCCTTTCCTCCCTGTAGCTGCTTAAAAGCCACCAGAAATGGGGTTTTGTTGGAAAAAACAGCACATTAAAAAGCCTTTCGTGCCCTGTGCTGCCTGGGGAGCCCCCGTGTCACTCCCGCCCTGCCGGTCCTGCCAGCGCCGGTGACTCATCCCTGTGGAAATGGAAATCCCGAGTCACCCGCTCACGCCTCCGCACGCAGAGCCCCGGGGTGCCCCGGCGATGGTGGGGACACCCCGAGAGGGGGACAGGGAGGTTGGAGCGCCCCTTGCCACCCAGGGCCGCAGGGCTGGTGCAGCTGCCCCTGTTTTCCATAGATTTGGGCAGGCAAAGCTGCCAGCTGGGCGCATTTCCCTAAGGAACAAGAGGGGAATTGTTGGCTCCAGCTGCCGCTGGCGTGGCAGGGAACAAAAGCGCCCGCTCCCTCGCGCGGGCCCTGGGCGCCGGCGCTGATAAAGGCGGCCGCGGTATTTACACTGCGGCAAGGCCGGCGCCGTGTTTGCGCCGCGCCGCCCGCGCACGCCGCTGTGTGCCCGCTCGGGGACGGCCCCGCGGGGCCAAGCACGTCCCGAGGAGCCTCCTGCTGCAGCCGGGGCCCTCGCGCAGCGCGTGCTGCAAGCGAGGCCGCAGGAGAGGCCGGGCGCTCCCCGGGCACGGCGCAGGCRGCCCGGGCGCTGCTGCGGCGGGTTGCAAAGCGGCGCGCTAGTTGGGACACGCGCCTTGGCTTCCCCATCCACACCCGTGTCCCAGCCTGCAGAGCAGCCCGGGAGCGTCACGCCAGGGAGCAAAGCGGCTCCGCTCATGTGCTGGGCAGCAGCCGGGCGCTCCCGGCACGCGCTGGCCGCCGGCCGCGCGCTCCCGGCAGGAAGGAAAGGGCCGGAGCGCGGCCGGAGCCGCGGGCTGGGGAAGCCCGGCCGCACCCTGCGGCGCGCAGGGCCGCGGAGCTGAGTGTGAGTCACCGCGTGCTCCGCTCCGCGCCGCGGCAAAGAGACCGCGGGGACGTGGCGCTTCCCAGYGCGCGTACGGGGCCTGGCGCTGGGGTTCCCGCGCGGGGACGGCACCGCCAAAGGGCGCTCCTGGAGAGCCAAACCGCGCTCAGCCGGCGCTGGCAGCGCCCAGCGCGGCCCCTGCCAAGCGCTCGCCTGGGATGCATTAAGTGTCGCTCCTCAAGGAACGGGGAGCAGGGCTGGAGAGGCCGCGCTGGAGCCGGGGAGGCCCCGCAGGTTGCGGCGCGAGGCCGGCGGCACCGCGGCGCCCGGCGAGCCGCGTGCGGAGACGCTCCCAGCCGGAGCGGGCCAAAGTCCGGGCGCTYGGAGCCGCCCGCGTCCCCGCCGCCGTTGGGGGACTTTGTCCTCCCTCGCTCGCACCCGCACGGGGAGAAGGAGGGATGGGTGCGGGGCTGGGCCGCCCGCATCGCTTCCCGGAATGGAAAGTGGCTCGTGGGGCCAGTGTCGGAGTCGGCGTTCCCGGTTGTATCCCGGGGTTCCCAGCTGCRTTTTGCGACAGGCAGCAACGGAAGCACCTGGCACCCGCCGGCCCCGCTCGCTCCATGGGACCCGGGGCTGCAAAGCCCCGGGAAGCAGCACACGGATCCCTGGGGCTGTAACGCGCCTGTCCCAGGGCATCGGCAGCYGCGGAGCCGTGGCCGGCGCCGGCCCCGAGCCCCCGGCAAGCAGGGTGGGCGAAGCCTTCCCGGYGGGAGCGGCCGCGGCCGCCAAGCGTTAATGGGATGACGTGCGCGAGCCGGGGCCGGCGGCAGCGCACGCAGGCGGGACCCGCCGCGCTGGCAGCTCCCGGCGCCGGACGCCTCCCCGGCGACGCCGAGCGGCCGCCCCTGTCCAAAGCGGCCCCGTTTGCCCCCAAACCCGCTGCTGTTGGGGGTCTCGGCCCTGCGATGCGCTAGGGGGGATCCCAGAGGGAAAAAGGGCTGGGAAGAGCAGCATTTGTCTCCTCAAATGTCCACACGAGCTAGCGAATGCACTGGCCTGCAATGAGCGGGGATTTGCGTGGGGGACATGAATCCAGGGGGGCTGCTGCAGGCTGCAAGGGGGCTCCGAGGGGTCCCCAGGGCGGTGCCACCGCGGGAACCCGCCCGGTGCCACCCACCACGTTGCACAACCTCCTATCTGTTCGCTTGAGCTGAGATGGGTTTTTGCAGGAAAGATTCCCACAGCATCGAGGTGCGGGACAGGACGGGGCCACGGTGGCCTGGGGAGCAGGGGGGTGCTGGGGCCACCCCACCCCGCGGCACCGCGGCCAGGTCCCCGAGGACGCCCTGCCCGGCAGAGCGCGCGGGCGGCTGCTTTGTCCTCCTCAACGCCGCGGACGGGATGCGCGGGCGATGCCCAGGCGGCCGCTTAATCGAGTTAGGGGCCGCGGGGCAGGAAGCCATCGGCGGGCAGAGGAGCCGCCAACAAGAGCCTGGTTCCTGTTTCGGAGGCAGGAGCAGGGCTGCGCGGCCGCCGTGGGGCTCGCTCGGTGCCGGGAGCGGGCCGGGGCCAGCGCCCGGGGCCGGCAGCGCCCTGCRGTGCCAAGCGCGCCCGCCTGCAGGGAGCAGAGCCCGGCTCTGCCCCRCGATCCCGGCCCAGGTGGACGCTCCGGCGCGCACGGAGCCCGGCCCGCTCCGGGGCAGGCGGTGCCGGGCGGGCACCCACTGGGCCCCCAGACAACTGCGGCACCGCGGCGAGCGCAGCGCTGCTGCCCGCTGATAACGGCTGCCGGGGCTGCCTGCTGCCCRGCAGATACCCGGCGCTTCCGCGCGCTCCGGGCGGGAGCGCAGAGCCAAGCGCTCCTCATGGCACCCTGCAGCCAGGCGAAGCCCATGGCAGGAACCGGCCCGCTGCGAGCCCGGCATTCCAGAGAGCCGGCTGGACCGGTACCGCCCTGCCCAGCCGGACGGGAGGCCGCAGCGGCGGCGGGYGGCAGCACCCGGACGCCTGGGCCCCTCTCCTGCCGCCAGCCCAGAAGCCCTGGCCAAGCCATCCGCGAGGGCTCGCGGGGAGGCCCCTTCCCGCCGGGACACCCAAGGCAGCAGCCCCGGGCAGGGGAGCTGCCCTCGACGCCCGCGTGACTCAGAGCTGACTCAACGTGCGAGCTCGCGTGCGGAAACCGCGGTGCCAGCRCCGGGCTGCCCAAACCGCGGAGCCCGGCACCGGCAAAGGCAGCCGCTGGCCTTGCAGGGAATCCCCTCTCACCCTGCTCGCTTTCTTTTGCGTTTTCCTTTGCGGCCGTGGGCTCCGCATTTGCTCCCGTGTGGGGCAGGGTGCAGCCAAGGCAGCCCCGGGCTCGCAGGGCTCGCGGCTCCCGAGCTCCGCCGCCGAYGGACACGGCCCGGAGCCGAAGGGAAGGGAAAGCTAAATATAAAACGCTGCCCGCTTTTCCGAGGCAGCTGGGAGAGGCTGCGCGCCTTCCCGGGAGGCGGATTATTTACAACATATTCCCAGCAAGTTAATTTTAGCCTTGGGAGTGACTTGACGTGGGGTAGACAGAATAAGAGCTAAGCGACSGAATGGAGGAAAATGGGATCATCCCAGTGCTGGTCACCCCAATAGGGAGGAAGGGGAAAYGCCGGAGGGGACCCAGGCATTCCCGGAGCGTCGGCACCAGTAGGGTTAAGGCAGCCCCCCCGCGCCGAGCAGGTCCCTTAGCCAAAGAGAGGAGAGGAAAATGGGACGAGCCGGAGAGAGCCGTGGGCAGGACGGAGGCAGCTGCCTGGCAGCGCTTCCCCGCCCGCGCCGGATGCCGCTGGGAAGAGTGCCGGGATGACGAAGGCAGCGGCCGGAGCGCTCCAAGGGCGCCCGGACACGGCACCGCGAGGGCTCCCCGGCTCCAGCACCCCCGGCCCGGCCGCGGCACCGTTTTCCCTGCCKCCTCCTCCTCCTCCCGGCTCCTTCCTCCCTCCTGCCGCTGCCAAGGGCGCCCGCCCGCCCGCTCCTGGGCGCGTGCCGAGCGCGCCGGCACTCACCGCGCTTTGAGCTCCTTGTGCTCCTCGCGCACTTTGCTGAGCTCCAGCTGCAGCCGCGCTCGCTCCTTGGCCACCGAATCCAAGGTCTTGCGCGCGTCGGCGAGCTCCGACTCGTAGGCGGCCTTGATGCCCGACACCTCGCGGCTCACCACCTCCTCGGACTCGGTGATGCGCAGCCGCAGGCCGGCGTTCTCCAGCTCCAGCGAGCGCACCTTGTCGATGTAGACGGCGAGGCGGTCGTTGAGCTCCTGCAGATCCTCCTTCTCCTGCAGGCGCGTGATGCGGGTGGGCGACAGCGGGGTGCCCCCCGCGCCGCTGCGCGTGCTCCGCTTCTGCGACGGCGTCGCCATGGGGCCTGCTGGCGAGGACGCGGCACCGACCCGGCGAGCGTCCGGCGCCGCTCGCTCCGCTGCGCCCGGCGCGCCCCGCGGCTCCCTTATATGCGCGCCGGGCTGCGCGGCCGGGAGGAGGAGGAGGGTGGAGTCAGCCGGCGCGGGGAGGAGGCAGCTCTCGTGCGTCAAACGGGGCCCTTTTCCTCGGAAAGCGGCGCTGGGCACCGCGACGCTGCTCCCCGCCGCGGCGGCACCTCAAACACTGCGTGTCCCCTTGCCGGCAGCCCCAGGTCACCCCGAGCGYCCGGAACAGCCGGTGTCACAAAGGTGGCTCCAAGGGACCCCCAGGCGCGGGGGCTCCGAGACCCCAACCCAAACCTGGGCAGCCCAAGACCCCAGCGCCTGGTGCCCCCTTGTGCCACCAGTCCTGGTGCCCGCTCTGTGCTCCCAGTGCTCCCAGCACTCCCAGTGCCCGCAAACCTCCCTGTTCCTGGGACAGTCCCACTGGCCCCAGTTCTGCCCAGTTCCACCTCTGCCCACGTTTCCGTGGCACCCAATTGTGCCCATCCCAAACATTCCCTATTCCCTCCATTCCAGGACCAACTCCTCCCAGTTTCCCAGCTCCCCCCACCCCTGCTACCACCTCATCCCCATTCCCAGTGCCCATTATTCCCAGTTTCTGCAGTGCCAGCCAGTCCCCAGCTCCTGGTCATTCCCAGTCCCCCAATTCCTGGTCAGGCCCTTCACCAAAAGGGGCAAATCTCACCCCAAAAGGGGGGCCCTGGCCGTGCGCTTCATCCCGACCAGAGCCACACACCGCCGCCCGGCGCGGCACCGGGYGCGCGATGAGCGCTCACGGTGCAAGGCCGGCGGGCTGGGCGCCGCGCCGCCCGCTCCCATCCCTGCTCCGAATGGGAGCTCCGGGAATGACTCACGCAGCAACCGGAGCAACAGACCCAAACAGAGCGGCGGGCGCTGCGGGGCCGGCTGCTTCGCCCCGCGCCGCGCGCGGCGGCCGATGAGTCACGGCGCCCACGGTGCCGCTCGCTGCCGTGTCCCCCCCGGCGCAGGGGCACGGGGCCCGCGGCCCCCCCGGGGTCCCCCCCAGCGCGGGCGCGGGGCGGGGTCTGGCCGCGGCGCCTGCCAAGCCGCGGGGCACTGTGGGAGGCCGGCGGCCTCCGCCGCTCCGCCGCTTTGTTTGGGTTGAAAAGGGGGGAAAAAAGGAAAAGGGGAAAGGGAAAACACCAGACTGGGCAGGAGAAAAGTGTCCTCACCCCCCTCCCCGCTCCTGGCCCGCTCCAGAGGGAAATATCCTTCCCTCCCCGGTTGCAGGGGAAATGGAGGCAGGGAGGCTCTGGCTTGAGCAATCGGGAAAATCAGAACCAAGGGTCACGGGAGCAGCCCGGCCGGTCCCGGCAGGCGCTGGGATCCCGGCATCGGGGGTGCATCCACCTTGGGATCCCCAGTGTGGAGCGCGTGGGCGGTGCRGGGCGCTGCCCCAGCCGCGGATCCCGCGGGATGCGGCTCCGGCTGCAGCCTGCACACAGGATCCTGGAGCAGCCGCCGGCCCCGCGCTCTCCGTGCAGCCCAGGCAGCAGGGATTAATGGGAAGCAGCTGGGCCGGGAGCTCCGGGCTGCCGTGCCGGCYGCTCCGGCACGCGGATTCCTGCGGTTTCCCCCGCGCTGTCCCGGGGCCGAGCGAGGGGCACGGACGGACCGCGCGGCCCACGGTCCCCGCCAAGGCCGAAAGCAGCTGCATCCCTGGCATTTCAAGCAGGCATCGACCCCACGGAGACACCTTGGAGCTCGCCCTCGCTCCGGGCCCCGGAGCAGCCCTCGCTCCAGCTCTTCCCATTCCCAGGTGCACACAGCCTGGCTCCAAAGGGGAATTTTCCCTTTGCTGGCAAACAGGACATGGAAGTGCATGGTTAACCCAGCCGCTCCCAACACCCTGATAGGAGGGGATCATCCCATAGGAAGGGAGCCTCCAAGCTTGTTCCCAAGGGATCACGGGTGCCGCCCCCCGCAGTGATGCCCACGGATGACGTGGTGGCAGGGACAGGACCGATATCCCAGCCTCTGGAATGAGCCGCGAAGCTCTGGCTGCCTGGAGCTCCCCACTCTTCCCACCCACTATCCACGCACATAAAGGGGGCTCACGCGTGTGCGCGGACGAGKTTTAATTAGCTAATAATCTCTAACAGCGCTTAATTGCCTCGTTATAAAAGGTAATTACAGCAATGCATCAATTAGAGCTGCAAAGTTAACAGATTCCACAGTCGGGTTTATTGAGGGAGCCGAAACTTGGAGGCTGCGCCCGCCCAGCTAAGCCTGGATGGAGGCGCCCCCCCGGCCCCACTCCTGCCCGCACATCTGGGGCAAAACAGGGCACTTTGGGGCTGCTCTAAATGCAGCGTTTCCGCACATGGAGCCACATCCACCCCRGCATGTAAAACCTGGGCGAGGAGCTGCCCGGCTCCATCGCAGGCCCTGGAGATCCCGGGCTGAGTCACAGGGGCGGCCACTTCTTGGCTTCCTCGTGGGGCACTGGAGGTGCCAACAGGGATGTTTGTGCAGGACGGGGCTGGAAAAGATCCAGGACGGTGCTCGGCCTCCGCCAGGACGTGCAAAGGCAGCGGGAAGCACAGGAGGAGCCTGGGGCTCCGAGCATCCCTATGGAGCCGGGAGCCTCCTGGAATGCTCCCAAATACGCCACATTTGGACCAAGGGAATCGGGAGCGGGCGGGTGAAGATGCAGCGGGTGCCGGGGCTGTTTCTGCTGGGCACCCGGTTAAACCCTTTGCTAAAGCAGCAACGCGCTGCTGGGGATGCGGGACTGGGCCTCCCYTGTGCAGACACATCCCTGGCAAAACGCGGCGAGCAGGAGCCGGAGGGGAAAACGCCCGTGCTCTATCTCCCTCCTCCGGCCCCTCTGTATTTCCTGGAGACGAACCGCAGYGCTCCGAAACTTTCGGACGGGCCACGCGCCGCTGCTTCATTCATTTCCCGCCGCGGGAGCGCGGGGGGAGCCCGGGGCTGCCCACGTTGCACATTTAGCTCGCGGCTAAAAGAAAAAGCACCAAAAATAGCCCAGGACGGAACTGCCGGGGATGTCCCGCAGCCCAAGGGAGGAGAAGCCCCGGGCTGGGTGCAGGGGGGTGCACAGAGCAGCAGTGAGGACACCAGGGACAGCAGGGACACGGTGCAAGACAGGGAGCCAGCAGGTCAACCCTGGGGCTGCTGCTAGGGCGACTCCTCCCTGGGGATCCATGGGGCGACTCCTCCCTGGGGATCCATGAGGTTGTTCCTCCCTCGGGATGCAGGGGGCTATTCCTCCCTAGGGATCCATGGACGACTCTTCCCTAGGCATCCATGGGGCTATTCCTCCCTCTGGATCCATGGGGCTATTCCTCCCTCTGGATCCATGGGGTTATTCCTCCCTAGGGATCCATGAGGTTATTCTTCCCTCAGGATGCATGGGGCTATTMCTCCCTAGGGATCCATGSRTGACTCCTCCCTAGGGATCCATGGGGCTATTCCTCCCTCCAGATCCATGCGGTTATTCCCCACTAGGTCCCCCGGAGCCCTCAGGCCGGCAGTGCAGTGGGGAGCCCCGGCCCCGCGTGTCCCAGCCGATCCCGYGGCACACGGGAGCCCTCCTGGGATGCAGGAATGCCAGGCAGCGGGTGCCGCGGATGCTGTGGGTGGCCGGCGCTGCTTGTTTGCTGTTGCTACGTGCCCGCGGGCGGCAGCGCTGCGGCCACGCGGCTCCCTCCAGCCGCGGAGGCACCCGGGGCTGGCGCGGCCAGGGAAATCCCTGCCTTTGATCCCGGGACACGGGGCTAATTGCAGGGCTGGGCTGGAGCAGGCGGGATGAGGCTGCTGGAAGCACAATYGAAGGGGTGCATGGGGGCATGTTCGGGGTGCCACCCACCCGGCTCATCCCRGGGAGGTGGGATGCGCACGAGAAACCCCGGATCCGCTGCACAAGGTGGGCTGCAGGACAGGCCCAGGATGCAAAACCCACCCAAGGCCTCGGCTGCTGCTGAGTTTGCCCTTCCAGTTGCTCCCATTCCACCGGCCAGGCTGGGACACGCCACCTTCTCCCAGCCTTTCCCCGTGTCACCCAGTAGCTGGGGACGTTCTCCACGCAGAAACGCTCCTTTGGAGCGCGCACCCGTCCCCACGCGAGGACAGGCCCCGCGCATGCTGCAAACATGCAGGGAAGGCCGGTGTGTCGCCCCACAGCAGCACCACGCGCCCCACGCGCGGGATCCCGCTCTTCCCGCCGCGCGTCCCGGGGCTTTGCCGCGCGCGGGGGCGGCGCGGAGCACACGCGCGAACGGCAGCTCCAYCTCGCGCCCGCCGCGGGCAGTGCAGGCGGGCGAGCCCAGCCCGGGACGAACGTGCCGCGGTCCCGGCTGTGCCCGAGGGCGCGGGACGGGCCCCGGCTCCGTCCTCCACCCTGTGACCCGCGCAGCCCCCCGCATCCTCCCCAGCACTAAACGCTCCGCTGGGTCCTGCGGGCACCTCCCTGGCGCGGGAGCTCCTTGCTCCGGGACAGAGCCAGGAGAYGCCTGTGGGAATGGCCGGCGGGCCGGGAAGCGGGATGAGCTGCAGGTGTCGGGCACGGCAGCGGAGCCGGGGGCAGAGCCAAAGCTTCTCTGGTTTCCAGAAAGGGGATCTCAGGGAGGCTGCCCGGGCACCACCTGGCACACGAGGTGGCCGGCTCACCAGAGCGCACTGCAGCTCACCGGGGCTCTCAGAGCTTGTCGGAGCTCAACGGAGCTCAAAGGAGCTC